AGAGTACGAGTGGTCGAAATAAAAACAAGAGATGGAACATATCGTCGGCCTGTTACGAAAATATGCCGATTTTCAACAGATGGTGAAAACTAACCATTTTCACGGGGAGGAGGATGTTGCAGATATTTTTATTTGTTTTGTTATCGTCACCCTGTATTATTTATTTTGAAATTCTTAGTGTGTTATGAAGACAATAATTGATAAAAAAAAGAAAATAATAATAAATAAAGAGAGTAGTTGAACGAGTTAAGATTTATAATTTCAACGAAAAATACAATACACCCAAGAAATAAATAACAGTTATCATGCTTTCAAAGAACAATTTCCGGAAATCTAGACATATTGATAATGTCGGCAACGTCGTACTGGCACAGGGAATCGTATTCTAACTCTGTGTGAATGTGGATTTTCAGAAAGTAAGTCATAGGAATGGTGGAGGAGCCAAGTTCCAAAAATAAAAAAACGTATAATTTAATTTTTTACAAACTTCACAGTGAGATAAAAACCTCAATATAGGAAACTTCCCCATTATCTTGGAATTAGCGCAATTTCAGAATGCGCTATTTTGTTACAGCACTCTTTTGTTACGCGCTGTTTTGTCACGCGCTATTACATTGCAGAGCCTATTCATACCGGTCCAAATTTGGTACAGATCGCACGACTAATAGCTGAGATATAAAGGGGGGGGGGGTCGTTTAAAGTAAGACACGCTGTAGATTTTATGCTTATACACCCTATATTCTGAAAACTAATTGAGATATTGAAAACCCCTATAGCACGTAAGAGAAAAATATCTTGATTAGTTTTTGAGATATTGAGTGTTTAAATATATGGTCACTCACCCTGAACCTATAACAACTTACTAATTGTACTGTCACCTTCCTATGATGAAAATAGGAAGGCAAGGTAGATGAATGTGTCTCTTTGATATTTCAAGTGTGTCATCATAAGATTTCTTCGATGAAATTTGGAAACAATATATCGTCACACAATTAGGCGTACCTACCTCATTAAGTCACCAGCCACTGAGTTTCTTTGAGAAAACAAAAATGAAACGATTTCTTCAGACGCACAGCCTTGATACGAACATCCAGAAACCACAACCGTTGTCCTGCTGAATGAAAAACCTAGTTGGCTGCGCTACACTGGTCACTTGTCCGTTCTGTCATAAACTTTTTCGAACCACCTCTACTGTCTGCGGAATTCTGCATTAGCCGCATTAGAATGTGAAAATTTGACATTTTTGAATACGTCTAATTTCACATTCTAATATTTGAGTATATTTATGTTAACACCTTAAATATGTTCATCCTCTTGTGAGTGTATGAACCTCAATTGAGAGTGGATACTCTTGATAATTTGAAGTGTTCATCATCTTAATAACCTTGAATGTGTTCATTCCGTATTTGAATATGATTATAATCGATGTTAAATCTCAAGTTGAATGTTTATTCCGTATTCGAATATTCTTTTTCTACTCTAAAATGGCACTCAGGGTACGGATAGGTACCACGCTGAATGATCTGTGATTTATAGTCCAATCAAATGGTATTTACACTTGGAAAGAATTCAAGTAGTCGGTTTCTTTGAGGTTTCATACGTTTTAGTAGGTGTTGAATTCGAATTTGAATTTTGCAAACAAAATTACCTCGAGCGTTCCGAGATATTCGCAAAAAACAGCAAAATTTTCGGATTTTTTTTTCGTTTTTTTGCCCGTAAGTCGGAAATTATACGTTATATCGAAAAGACTGCCCTATAGAAAGTTGAAGTAGATAAAATTTCCTAAATATAGTTGTTATTGCTCATGAATGAAGGACTAACGAGTGCGGAGACAGATTGAAAATTGACCAAATTTGCGTACTTTTAAAAAAATAGCGTTTTTCCTGGGTTATTGCAGGTGATTCCAAATCTACGCATTCCTCTAAGAAACGAACTATACTGCCTGATGTGGAAGAGTCCTAGCCATGTGAATTCTTACCTCTTCTTCTTAATATTGTTTTTCTTACCTGCCTCTTGTTATTCGTTAACGGAGTAGAAAAATCAAGTTTCCTAGCAACGAATATCAGCAATGTCAGACATTTGGAGGAAATGTAGTTAGAAGAGTTCCCTTCACTGTCGGCTAGAGTTCCTAAATGTACTTGACACTGCTGATTTTGACGTTTTTTATATACAAAAAACGTCAAAACAGCAGTGTCAAGTACATTTAGGAACTCTACTGTCGGCTATCTTCGAATTTACGGCGAATGCTGGTTATAAATCTGTCTCACTGCGATTTCAAAATACGAAAGTTCCAGTTCAGTTCTTTACAAAGATGTGTGCAAATTGTGAAGGAAACTGAAGCAATATCGTGCAGTATGATCTAGAGAACAACCAGGATCTTGATGTCGATGGAGAATTATCCATCACAAACTCACCTAGAGGTATCAGCTTCATCTACTATTAACATCTACTACAATCAAACTTTCATAATGGTTATACTTGAACCCACCATCTGGCTAGTTACCTTGCATATAGTAATGTCTATCAATTTCTCTTTCAGATCATCATATAGAGGATGGGAGTACCCTGGAGAAAACACGATTTGCTCCACCTGAACCACCATCCCCAATACCGGGTCCTTCAGGGTACTAGTCCCCTATCAAACGATGTAGTGACGATTAGATTTTAGATTATAGGATCACCCTCATCGGATTGATTGCTTTTTTCAACCCTAGACTTCTGATGAAGCTCAATATTTTCTAGACGGTTGACTTTTCCGCCTCAACAGGCGTTATCTAGACCTGTTCTAGGGTAGTCAGCCTTTGGTGGACTGGTACATTACAAGAATGAAGGTGCTCCGCGGTATAGTGTCAGTCTCCTCTAGACCCATTTTTTTTTTAGTAATAGCTCAGAGGGTAGTGCTTTAGTTCTTGTTTGCCGAGACTCACTAGCTTACGAATTGCTGAAGAACTCTTTCCTTCTCGTTTACCTGGAGTTGCTCAACAGTATTAGGATTTTTTCACTTCATTCTCATTTTCGAGCTCTGTGATAAGGTGGTATTTGCTGGTCTCACAGAAAGGTAAAATGTGAACCCCTCACTTTTTTGCTAGGCGATCAGCTGCCTCATTCCCTTGACGCCTTGGAACCCACATGAGCGAGAATTGATTCTAGTACTTATTCATCTCAAAATAGTTAATTTTGATAGTTTGAATATTGTTTATCAGTTTTTATCAAGATGTTCAAAGAGTACCCTATAGCATTTGGAATTATTCTATCGCAATTATGAAAACTTTGATTCCAATTGAGCGTAGAGAATTTTATTATTTTTTTGTCCCCCACCCCACAGAATACTAAACACAACAATTATCTATTTATACGTTTTAGTGCTTCAATGAATATAGGTTCATATGATCCAAATCATATAAGTTGAAAGGATGAACATGAGTGTGGCAGCTACGACTGAAAGACGTCTCCAAGTCCGAGCGCTCTAATAGCTGTTCATCTATTTTCATGACAAAATTTACATGAGTTCGAAAGGAAATTTGATGCTCTGTCTCTGAGTAATACGTAAAATATGAATAATCTGCGAAAACCGACGAGAAACGCTATTTTTTTGAAAGTACCCAAATTTGGTCAAATTACAACTGGATCTATATCCGCACCCTTCAGTCCTACATCCATAAGCAAGAAGAATTTAATCTACTTCAACTTTCTTCAGAACGGTCTTTTCGAAATAATGTATAATTACGGGCAAAAAAACGAAAAAAGTCCGAAAATTTCGCTGTTTTTTGCTGATATCTCGAAACGCAACAGGAAATTTTGTTTGCAAAATTCAGATTCGAATTCAGTACCTCCAATAACATATGAAACCACAGAGAAATCGACTACTTGATTTTTTTCCCGGATTGGGTCCTAAACGTTCATCACTTCAATCAAATGTGTACAGGGTGGCCAACTAAGAATCTAGAGTTCGATACCTCTGTTGTCTCGAGGGATACAAAAAAAAAATTTGCATTCAAATTAAAGTGATAACCAAGCTTTACATTTCAAAATTTCATCGAAATACACAGGGTGTTTCGTAAGGTCACAGCACATCAAAGCTATGTTTTTTCATTGGAACACCCTATATTTTATATCATTTTTGAATTCTCCCTGAAGATCTGATTTCAACGACGTACCATACTTAGGGTCTAGCAGTGAAAGTTACTGACATATAGGGTGTGCAAAATCGAGATTTTCCAAGTTCAGGATTTTTTTCTGTCGAAACTGTTCATTATTCGTCAAAACGGTTTACATGTCTCTATCTCAACTTTTCACTCACTATCAATTGGTGTTCAATTGACATTTAATTGAAACAAATTATAAATTAAGATGTTTTGACCACCTTGTATCAATTTCAATTGAACACCAATTGATAGTGATGGAAAAGTTGAGATAGGGACATGTAAACCGTTTTGACGAATAATGAACAGTTTCGACAGAAAAAAATCCTGAACTTGTAAAATCTCGATTTTGCACACCCTATATGTCAGTAACTTTCACTGCTAGACCCTAAATATGATAGATCGTTGAAATCAGATCTTCAGGGAGAATTCAAAAATGAAATAAAATATAGGGTGTTCCAATGAAAAAAACATAGCTTTGATGTGTTGTGACCTTACGGAACATCCTGTGTATTTCAAAGAAATTTTGAAATGTGAAGCTCGGTTATTACTTCAATTGTGATACATGACTTATTTCTGTATCTCTCAAGACAACAGAGAAATCGAACTCTGGAGTCTTAGTTGGCCACCCTGTATATTCTGCTCCTGAATATTCTTATTCCCGATCTGAAATTGTTCAATCTCGATTAGAAATATCAGCCCCGATTCCTAAACGTAATGGCACACTTTATGAACCAAACAAAACAGAGTAATGACAAGCCAAGAACCTTCATCGCTTCAGCAGGCAACGGCGTCCCTCTCCCTACCAACTACTACTAAAATAGCCCCGCCCATTTATTCAACGGGCGAACAACCCACCCGAATGGTCCGCCGTAGCGTACTCGGCCAGCAGGGGCGTGGCCGCAGCGGCCGCCAGCGCCGCGTAATTGGCGTAGTCGCCGTAGGGGGCGTAGATGAGCTGGTGGGGGTCGAGGGGGCCGGGAGGCGGGGCGGCGCCGTTGAGCAGCGAGGCGGCCGTGGTGGGGACGGACATGCGCGGCGAGAGGATGAGGGGCGCGCCGAGCGGCGTCTGGGCGGGGCGCAGGCCGCCCATGCCGGGCGAGAGGAGGCGTTGCGTCTCGACGGAGGCGGCGAGGCGGCGCCACTCCTCGTCGCACGCTGGAATGAAGAATTCTGCTGACGGGATCAGTGATTGGTTAATGGTGTTTTGGCGATTTTTTTTCAACACTGAGCAAACCGATTTTTGTATCTACCAAATATTCAAACACTTTGTTCTACATTCACCGGCACAAAAAACCGGCCTCAAAAAATTTAGCCAAATTGTTCCCCCTCTAACTTTTTAAATTATTTCTCTATTTTGGTGAAATTTTGATCGAATCAATTATTCATGTTTCGGAATGTTAGTCTGAATATTGGTTCCTAAGATTATTTCATTCATCTGAAAATTCACGCTTTTGATTGGTTGTAACAGCTGTATTGATAATCGAAAACACTATGTTATCGATTTTGTATTTCGGCACCTGATTGGCTACTTACTGTTTGAGTTTTTGTAGCATGACAGCAGGATATAAATGCTGTCATAATATATTCGTGTTCAGGGAATAAAAATACTACACTTCTATTCAAAACCCAATAGGCACTATCACAATTTGAATTGTCCTCACAATTATTATAAGACAATTCCAAATAATTATTGATTGAGCATGATTCGCATGATATAACCTAAAATAGGAATAATTTTTCAACCACGACTGACGTGACATCTCTACATCTCTCTCTTCTCACTCCCTATGATGTACGCTGCTTTATCCATTCAACGCTTTAATGTATTGTTAGTTGCATAACATCCCTAGTACCTTCGATCGCGAGTGAAGAGGAAGAGTGAATGCGGGATCACGATTGCGGGATCACGATTGCGGGAAACTCAATTGAGAAGGCTGTGGCCAGTTGTAAAGGAATCAAAGAAAACAAAACTGTTTATATGTTGATAAATATCGTTACTAGGTGTGGTGTATAGCTTGAAAATGGACAGTGAAAATCGTTTCGGTAAATATAGTGTAGAAGAAATAAGAAATGAAGTCAAAGACTTAACGCCTCAAAATACCGTGCGTTCCAAAAAGTATGTTTGGAAACAATTCACAGAATTTTGTGAACAGCGAAATCATCAGCTAAACGAAAATACATCTGATGAAAGACTTGCCAATATTCTCATCGACTATTTTTGACAGTTAATGGTAATTGGAATAAAGATCATAAAAGTCCTTGGTTCAAAAAATATGCCAATGGGTATAAATGAAATAAGTAAATGGACCAAATTGTCAGCTGAAAAGATCGGTTTAGATACAAAAAACGTGAAAATATCAAACCATTCAAACAGATCTACAGCTGTGAGTCAATTGGCAAGTTCTGGAATTGGGGAACAACAGATAATAAAAGTTACTGGGCACAGTAGTTCAATGTCATTGAAACCATATTTACAACTGAGCAAAGAACATTATGCTGATATAATATCAAACCTCAGAAAAGAAGATAATATGGATATATCCACGACGGTTGCATCTAGTAGCAGTAATGATGAATGTCACTATGTCAAAATAAATAATTGCAATAACTGTACATTCAATATAAATATTAACAATAAATAGGTAGTGAAAATGGTTTATTTTTCATTCATGAAATAATCTTGACAAATACAACACGTGTAATTGATGATTATCGAAAATTCCTTCTCTTTTTCGAAACAAATTGTGTTGCTTTCAGGCAACCACACTCGCGCTATGCGCTCGTGTGGTTTCCAAGCAACACAATTTGTTTCTCAAAATCGAAGGAATTTGTGTTTCGATAATCATCAATACACTTGTTGTATTACAAGCGGAAAGCTGATGACTTGATCATTATACAGGGAAAAACAAAGTTACTTTTTCACCTGAATTATCGATAATAATTATCCATATATCGATGAATTAGCTCACCCCTAGTCGACTATTTGTCATGGTCTTGGGATATTACTGTTGACTATGGTCGACAATTGCGGAAAACCATATGTAGGCCAAACTTAGGGACCCATCGACGCTAGGTTCAAAGAACATCTTGTGTACATTCAAATTAAAATAAATGTCAGTGGAACCTGTTGATTATTTCGACAGATATCACCAATGTCAGTGACAAGGCTACTGGGTGATTCATGGCTGTTTCCTCCGGTAGAATGATGAATTCACGAACCAAGTTTTCTTCATTGCAGGAGAAATGAAAAATATAGACGACGGAGAAATTTTGTAATCAACTCATATATTGAATTGCAATTAATGATCTCGAACAATAACACGGTCGCTATATGCTCGCACGTTCAAATATCTCGATCATTAATCGCCCTCATTAATACACTAGTTGGTTAAATAACTATTTCACTGACTAAAATTGTAAGCGTTGAAAAAATCGGTTCGCTTAGTGTTAAAACAGTGTAGAATGATTATGTTACTTAAAGTTCAAGACTGATGTATAGGGTGTGTCATTATTAGCAAACAATAATTTGACAGTCGTTCTCTCGACCAAAAATAAAAAACAAAAATTCGAACGAATATGAATAAAAAGTGATTCACTAGGCAGCTTCCCCAATGAATGTTTTCATAGATTTTTCCATAACGGTTTGAGACAAAATATATGTATATTAAGCATGATTTACCTATTCTAGGACTAGGAAGTTTTTCATGGAAGTTACGCGCAAGTGTACTTACCTTTCTTATGGAAAACCTCGCGAATTTTGAATTTCATTGGTGATTTTGCATTATTAATTGCTTAGAGAAAAGTGAGGGCAAATTGCAAAAGTACAAAGTTCATCTTGTTCAATACACTCAATGAAAATTTCAAAGTCCTTTTATAATTTCTGAATCCAGCATTTAAAGAGTTAGTTGAACATACAAAATTCCATTATTTTGAAACCGTATTTTCTACAAGAGACGATTTGAAAAATGCACGATAAAAATGATACACCTTCCATATGCTAAAATGATTATCTAGTTACTGTATTTTTTTCATCGTTTTCGCGTTTAGAAAGTCATTCAACTACACATTGTCCTTTTGAAATTTTTTCATCTTTTTTTTTTATATTATGGCATGAACATTGATAATTACCTGCTACTGATGCCGCTTTTGACGTTGAATCCCTGTATGTTCCATTTATTATGGCTAATTCCATCAATTGCCTCTTTTTCAGTTCATCTTCTCCATCGGCTTGCTAAGAAAGATATTAGGCAATGACAAAAAAGTGGGAGTAAAGTCAATATTTTTTTATTTATTCAACTAGATTCAGTAGTATAAAAAAATCAAGAGCTAAGAATTCCATTTTCAATTTACAAACATTCCATTTTTGACACTTTCTGAAACACATTTCATGAAAAAAAATATCTCAGAGTATCATCCTTTGGCAATTCGAATTTCTCATTAGATAATATAAATGAACATGTACTCGTTTCATAATAAAGTACTGAATTAATTAATTTTTCGCTAAAATATCTAAGTATTTGTGAGAATCCAAGCAAATTCAGGGAATTCCAAGGAATTGCAAGGGAATCCAAGAAATTCCAAGAAAATCCAAGGAATTCCAAGGAGATCCAAGGAATTCTGAGAAAAACCCAAGGGAATCCAAGGAGAACCATAGAAAGCCAAGGAATTCCAAGGAAATCCAAGAAATTCCAAGGGAATACAAGGAAATCCAAGGAATTTCAAGGAGATCTAAGGAATTCCAAAGAAATCCAAGGAAAGCCAAGGAATTCCAAGGAAATCCAAGACACGCCAAGGAAATTCAAGGAATTCCAAGAAATTCCAAGAAATTCCAAGAAATTCCAAGGAAATCCAAGGAATTCCCTGAAATTCCAAGGAATTCCAGTTGTTTGTACACCAGAGTTATACCGCCATTCACCAAAAGAATTCCAAGTAAATTCAAAGAATTCCAAAAAAATTCAAAGGATTCCAAGGAAATTCAAGGAGATCCAAGGAAATCCAAGATATTCCAAGGAATTCTATATAGGAGAATCCAAAGAATTCCAAGGAATTCCAGTTGTTAGTATACCAGAAATTTAGCGCACTCAACTCAAAGAATTTTAGGGAATTCCAAGAAAATCCAAGAAATTTCAAGGATCTCCGAGGAAATCCAAGGATCTCCAAAGAAATCCAAGGATCTCCAAGGAAATCCAAGGATCTCCAAGGAAATCCAAAGAATTCCAAGGAATTCCAGTTGTTTTATACCAGAATTCCACCGCGGTGTACCCATCAATAGTAGCGAAATATCGACTGACAGCTATTTGACATGAAATTAGTTGACATTTGGATTTTCGAAAGTTTGGTTGCAAATATCGCAATAAACTATCGAAAGCAGCTGCGATAGTGAGTTTGAATATGTCCATACGAAATTTCCAATGTAACAGTTGGTAGGTAAAGGTATTCTGTTCAAATTTCAGTATTTGATAGAAATGAGAATTAATAAATAAGAAATTGTATTCTACAAAGAAATATAATATGCCAGTGAAGTGCTACGGCACCGGCTAGGGTGACAACATTTTGTATTGTTTTGTATTATACTGTCTATATAAATACTTGTCTCTGTGTGTTAAATTTTGAAGTAAAGTTTTTAAAATCTTGTTTTCAAACTGTAACGAATCTGTGTCCTTGAAATTTTCAACCCGTATAATATTTTATTACTGCTCTTTCAATATTCTAAAGTTCTACCTAAATCATGACTTGTCACAAACATCTCAAATTGTAACGTGATCAAATAAATCTACTCTACTCTACTCTAATATGGAAATGTGTCTCATTGAATTGTTATTCAACATGGTTGCCGAAAAAATAGTGAACGCAACATGTCCAAAAACAGTTTTTTCCATCGAATCGTCCTCTTTTTTTTAGACCTTCCTACTTACAGGTACTAGTAGTTTTCTGACTTCGTCCACGGCCCTTTGTAACTTGACCTGCGCCCTGTTCTCCGTGTCTTCGACAGTGAGAAGGACGTGCAGTTCATCGGAAAGGTGTTCCCAGTTGGGTTTGCCTCTATTTTGATCCTCCTAAACAAGACAAAATATGAGCATGAAAAAAAATACTGGAACTGGGCTAGTCGGAAGTTCAAAAGATCAAAACAACTGTCAAGAACCGTTGATTACAGTAATTGTTTCTACTAGCGTGCGGATAAGTTCACTTTTCCGCACCCGTTACAGTGTTGAAAGATATACAGGGTGTTTCATAATTGAATGCTGATCCTAAAGGGCGATGATCCTTGGATGATTTCAAGGATAGAAGTTCATATCCATCATGCTGGAAGACAGCTAGAGTCCAACCAATCCCCAAAAAAGGGAACAAGAACCTGCCCAACAACTACAGGCCCATTGCCCTGTTATCAGTAATCTCCAAAGTGATGGAGAAAGCCATCAATATTGAGCTTATCAAATATCTGGAGAGCTCAGGAATCATCAATGATAGACAATACGCCTTTCGCCACCGAAGATCTACTGGAGATCTACTTGCCTACGTCACCCATTTATGGCAATCTTCAATAGAAAAACACGGGGAATCTCTAGCTGTCGCGTTGGACATATCGAAAGCATTCGACCGTGTTTGGCACGAAGGACTCCTCCACAAACTACCATCATACGGCTTACCACCTCAGCTATGCCATCTCTTATCGAGTTTTCTTTCAGGCAGATCGCTTCACGTGGTGGACGGTGTATCGTCTGATACCATTGGCATCAATTCCGGCGTTCCACAAGGATCAATTTTGGCACCAACATTATTCCTGCTTCATATCAAAGATCTGTTGGGAGTATCAACTTGCCCCATCCACAGCTTTGCAGATGATAGTACCCTCCATACTGCGTTCTCTTCCAGAATTCCCATTTCTTCCCAGGAAACTAGGAACTCACGGTGCAAGCAGGTCAATGCTGTCAATGAAGATCTTGCTGAAATCACAGCCTGGGGAACGAACAACCTAGTTGAATTCAACGCCACCAAAACTCAAGCCTGCATTTTCTCTAGAAAGGTGGAACTCAGTATGCCCGATATTGTAATGTCTGGCTCCACCATCCCCGACAAGCCCACCATATCTATGCTCGGTATTTCCATCAGCAACAATCTTTCATTGGATAATCATGTCAGATCCATCGCAAAAGCTGCTTCACAAAAACTCGGATTCTTGTTCCGTGCGAAAAGCTACTTTACACCTCAACAGCTTCTCATGATCTACAAAGCGCAGATACGGCCTGTTCTAGAATACTGTTCCCACATATGGGGTTCAGCACCAAAACATACGCTGATGCTCTTAGATTCTATCCAGAGAAGAGCTATTCGCCTGGTGGGTGACGCCACACTCACTCACTCTTTGACATCATTGGAACACCGTAGAAAGGTCGGCGACCTTTCACTTTTCTATCGATACTTCCACGGGAAATGTTCTTCGGAAGTCTCTGCAATCATCCCTTCATTAGCAATACCAATCAGACGAACTAGACAGGCCCAGTCAGCACATCCTTTCGTTGTCAACCTTGAAAGATGTCGAACAGCTTTTTATCAAGACTCCTTCATCCATAGAACGGCTAGGCTCTGGAATTCATTGCCTGTGGAAGTATTCCCAACGACATATAATCTCCAAAAATTAAAAAAAAAATCCAATACCTACCTCTTGTCCCTATCCTCCCTAGGAACGCACGATGTTCGTTGAACATTATAGGGATTCCCTTTCGTGCGCTCCAATCGATAAAAAAAAAAATATCAACATATGTCCTGAACCTCTTAGTTTTTGAGCTACAAGGTGTTGAAATCAGAAGCGTACAGCGTTTTTTTAATCAAAACATTCAATATCAGGTCTACGAGGACATCACTGGTAAAAGTAAAAGTTCGATTTTCGTCCCAAAACAAAATGTGTTTCCACTTATAGTGGGTGTCTACTGAATTACCAAAAATAATATCCAAGAACTGAAGGAACAAAATTCTTTGGTTTTTATTTTTTTACGCGAAAACGGTACGTTGTGTGAAAGTAAGTCTAGGAACCAAATTTGCTCCAAAATTAATAAGAATTGAAAAAAAATTCTGGTTCTCAGAAAAATCAGTGGTGTACAATTTTTTTCTTCGAAAATTGTCAGTTCAAACCCCGTACGGACGCCACTGGTGAGAATTTTCAAATATCTTTCACGTAAAAAAATGCTCCTTAATAATGAAAAGGTGTATACAAAATATCATAACAATATCTAGGAGTGATAAAAAATTATGATGAAAAACTCATTTTTTTTCTTGAAATTTCATCACCCTGTAGCTCAATAACTAAGAGGTTTAGGACATATACTGATATGAACTTTTCTCTTTGAAATCATCCAAGGATTATCGCCCTTAAGGATCAGCATTCAATTATGAAACACCCTGTACTTTTATGCACTAGTGCGGAAACGTGACAATGCAGTGCAATTAATTTGCAGAATACTACAAATTGCACGTTCAATATTAATAATAATTAATTTGTTGATATCTATTTAATAATAAATATTCCTCAATGTCGACTTTCTGGTTTTTTCCGCACGTTAGTACAAAAAATAGTGTATTACTTAATGCTGTATTTTGAATACTTACAATTCACTAAATAGGTCAGCTTGAAATTTCAAAATTCACACGTTAGAATATTCAGAATATTTATAGACAACAGAACAAAACCCTCATCTCAATTTTTATTCAATCCAAACTGGTCAACAATGGAAAATTTCGCCTACGGCTCATGCTGCAAACCTCATTCTCGTGGGGAATCACTATCATTCTGTGCTCATTAAACAATATACTATTTCAGAATCATCTACAGGTGAATATCTATCATCAGTGTAATTTCCAAACATGGCGGATTTGAGGATGTTATAGCCAATGTTGCCACTTTTTCAGAAAAAATGTTTTTCTACTCACATAACTAAAATGGCATTTAGCGTACGGATATGTACCACGCTAAATGATCGATTAATCACGGATTGACGATCTGTGATTTATTCAAAATATAAAACACGTTACCATGGCAACACAATATCTCAAACACATTACCATGGCAACACAGTTCATTAAACACAGCTTCAGTCATTTGAGACATGTCTGGCCTGTCAATTGTATTAATTGACAACTCTTATCTTCAAATTTTGTATCAGAATTATTCAAACAATATTCGTTTGTAACAGAATTCTTCATTTAAAATATATGCGAAATGTAGACGAAAGTGAAATCGAAGAGAATGTTCTGGTATTACTTGCATATCTCCAAGAAGTGTAAAAATGAAGCATCCATCTTTGATAACAATTTATTTATTCTACGCTAAGCATGAGAATGAACGTGAAACAAAGGTTAGTAAGCAATGGACTGGACACATCTACAACCAATATCACTTATACGTGTCTCGCTGGTTGCATGCAGTTGCATGTATTATGTTCTCAATTGTCATTCCTTTCGAGTTATTTTGTAGGTTAGTGGGAATAGCAGGTATGTTAATGTAATTTTCGGAGTTCGTAGAAAAAGCATAGTATGTAACGCGTTTATAAACTCTTCTAGACACTCGTTTATTAAACACTCGCTCCGCTCTTATAACACTTGTTACATAATATACTATTTTCTACAACATAGACAATTTTTGATTTGTGGAGTTATTCAAATTCTCATTCATTAGTGGTTTTTGTTTGTTTTACTGAATTTGTAGAAGTTGCTTTTTTCCCCATAGTTTAGCAGATAGAGCAAACACAAATAAACAGGCCTATTAATTTCAATGGTAAAATCACTTGGTTGCTTAGACAATTGCCTTTTTTTCCCAATCCGATATGCATGCCGAGCCACATCAATTACATAACCTAACCATAAAATGAATCTCGACGCTCCGATTTTTCGGGGACACGCAAAAACAAAAGAATTGCTCGCTAAGTGTCTCTATCCTGCGCTTCACTACTACACACCTTTTTTTTGTCCCTCATCGAGCCCTTCCCTCTGACCATTATTTTGCAGCCCGTTTCTTGTTCCAACTGTTTCGCAGTCATTCCTCGAGGACCCAGAATCCTTCCTACAAAATTGAACTGAAAAGAAAACAATGAATATAATAGTAGATTGTTTTATTAGGATCAAAAGTGATACTTTGTTTGACAAGCGAATTTGCATTGCATTTGCGAGGCGGAGCGTGTAGCGAAGCCGAGCGAAAGCAAAATGTGCGAGTCGAACAAAGTCACTTTTGATCAGAATGAAACATGCTATTTTTTCTGCAACCGAAATAATTAACTCAAATAAACATGTGAAGTAACCACCAATGCCGTGCCATATGTATGCAATGCAACAAATATTGACAAATAATCCATGTGGTGAGAATATTCTACCTGCATTAACAGCAGGTTAGGCTTTCAAGGATGTTCGAATTGTAGTTTAATATAAATACAACCACAGAGTGACATATTTAAGTATGGACCAGGTGCCTAATGGCAAATACCACGCCAGTGCCAGCCAGCTATAGGAACAAGACGTAGAAAATGTTAGGTTAGTGAACATATCAACAATGATAATAGTGATTATTTATTCCTCTCCATACTACACTGTGTTTGACTTGATAATCAAATGAAGCTAAACAACATCGTTGTTTGAGACAAAAAAACTATTGCTTGCCGTGATTATTCAAAAACAAGTTATCCATCCCGAGAATAACGAATGAAATAACAGATCAAGCAAGTATTTGAATCTTGAAGGCTTCCCTGATCAAACAAAAATACTTAGCGGAGTGTTTATAATTCCAATACTAAACTATAATAAGGTGTATTTATATCTCCAGCATGGGTATGAAATGCCAAATCTGCTGAAATCGGAAACAAATCAGGTATGCGTCTCAACCCAAATAACCAACCGTCACAATGTTGTTTATTGTTGATGACGTCCAGTACATCCTTTTTAGTTTCTAGGAGCTAAAGTTCAACTTTAGCTCCTAGGAACTAAAATTCAACTTTAGCTCCTAGGAACTAAATATGTTGCCTAGCAACATACCTATTTTTGTGTCAGTAATAGAAACGTCAATTTAAGAGCTAATTTTGGTATCAAAATGGACGACTTTTGTGTCGGTTGCAGAAAAAAACAATTAATACTTCCAACTTCAACATCTTGTATTTGAAAAACGGAGCAAGTTAGGATACATGTTTGTATGAACTTCATGTATACAGGGTGGCATTGAAATAAGTGCAAATATTTCAAGCCTTGAAAAAGCTCAACGTATACAATCGAATGACACAATTTAAAAAAATCAGGGTTCAATATAAAATTCAGGGTTAGACCCCTTTCTCCACTCCAATAATATCTACACTGTAGCAATTCTGACGTCAGTTCTGTTCAAATTTCCGTGCGGAAGGTACTGGATTTTTTCTCGTTTTTTGTTCGATTTTCGAGATGAAATTTTCCGTCAATTAAAAGATTCAGAAAAAATCACATATAATGGGAATATTCGTTGGACTCTGTCATATCGATGTGCTTATTTCAAAAACACCTTGGGTAATTCAGGTTTTGAGGCACAAACTGTAATGGGAGATAGATCTCATCATTTCAATCGGATAAGTTCATATAAATATTAGTCCGATCTCGTCCAGAAGCGGAGCTACAGGGGGTCAAAGTTCAATAATTTTGTTCTATTAATTGAAATATCTCGTTTACTTCTTGAGATTTCACTTTGAAATTTGGTGTGGTCAATACTTCCTAGAAGATCATCATTTCAAGCTTTTTGAAGATTTTCAAAATCTACAGGGTGATAGGTGTTTGTGGGTAGAGGCTTCTTTATCCCCCTCAAACCTTTTCGTCGTACGCCTCTGGCATCTTTCACTGATCAAATTGTTCAATTTAGAGGCTTTTTTGCTTCCTGATTCTTTTCGAGAAAACGAACCGTTTTTGAGATAAATGAGCATATACGTTCTAAGACATGTTAATTTTGCCTATTTAATTCTTTGACAAAATTCGTTGAGAATACAATGAAATGTACTTGCTAAAATTGCAATCACTAGTCCAATCTGGATCAGTTACGGGAATACGGAGGGTAGAAAGTCGAGTTTTTTTTGGATAAATGGAATTTAAGCGAAACATAGGCAAAATTAACATGTTTCAGAACGTATATGCTCAATTATCTCAAAAACAGTTTGTTTCTCGAAAAAAATTGGGGAACAAAAAAACCTTCAAATTGAACGATCCACACAATTTGATCACGAGAAGATGCTAGAGGTGTACTACGAAAAAGTTTGGGGGGGATAAAGAAGCCTCTACCCCCAAAACCGTATCACCCTGTAGATGAAAATCTTAAAATAGCTTGAAATGATGATATTCTGAATAGTGTCGACCACACCAAATTTCAAAATGATATCTTGAAAAGTAAGCGAGATATTTCAATTAATACAAAAAAATAATTGAACTTTGATCCCCTGTAGCTCCGCTACTGAACGAGATCGAACTGATGTATAAATGAACTTTTCTGATTAAAATGATGGGATCTACCTCCCATTTCAGTTTGTGCTCTAAAACCTGACTCAACTTGTATAATATATAAAACGAGTATAAATATGAATCCCTATTCACTAATTCTATTTTTGCTGTGTTTCTTATGAAAGAAAAAATAAGAAATTCAATATTCTGGATCCAATATGGCGGACAAGTTTTGTAATTATAACCCGATTATATATTCAAAATTGGTATCTGGGTTCGGAGATTATGATTCTTCCGTCAAATTTTGGCAATTCAAGATGACATATCCAATATGAAATGAAATTCATAGTCAATCACCCTGACAAGTCACCCTGCATAACTTTTGAAATAATATATGATTTTCAGAAAGAAAAAATTATGATACAAGGTAAATGAAGAAAAAAAAAAGGTTACTTACGTCTGGATGTTCTTTAACTGGCACGTAAACTTTTTCTGTAAGCGTCGTAACAGGGCCATCTGGCTCTGGTAATACTAAAGGCTCCTTTTTTACACCATTTATTTGAAATAAACTAGCTCGGACTTTTGCTATTTCTGAAACAAAAAGAAAAAACGTCTTAATAGCATATTCTATACAAGTAATTGAGGAAGCACCTTTATTCCAAACTCATAGTTACACGAGACTTTCTCCAAAGGGATTTCAGTGATGCAAAAAAAATACGATCAGAATAACCGCTGAAGTTTGAGAGAATTCAGAACAACCAGAAGAGAAAAATCAAGGAATCTGCTTGCATTCTTCTGAACGGAGACAATAGCATTGCTTCTTGTTCAGTTGATATAGACAGTAAATGGTATTCACTACTGAAATCTGAAAATGAAAATGGTAAATTCAAGATTAATTAATGAAAACATCCTGTAACTCATTTGATTGCCAACGTCACCAATTCTCACTGAGAACTAAAAAGTGTCAAGACAATAAGACAAATACGAATTTGCTATTCAAATATCCATTTTTGATGTTGAAAACAGATTCGTTTCCAAAACGTCCAAAGCTAAGTGAACATTTGACATTTTCTCTATATAATTTCTCTTCTTCACACCTTTTTCAATACAAATTGTCGCTGACAAGCTAGTGAATAATTCTTTAAACGCAGTGACATTTTGGGGCAAATCATCTGATTTGTCCTTACTATACGTATATTGAAATAATATTCATATTTTTATTTTATAGAAACGAGGAGAGAAAATCCCAAAAAACCTGGAATAACAACTTTTTCATTTAACATTTTTTCATATCTCTGAAAACGAAAGAGTTAAGGGGGGATTCCATTTTATGAGACGCACCCTGTACACTGATGTAGGCTCGGATGTAGGCTTTGTTGGAAGAACAGCCTCAAAGGTTTACCTTCTAAAGTCTGAACCATATGCCTTTTATCTGCCTACTCAATATGGATATAGTTTTCTAACTCAACTTATGTAAAGTATATGTGGGTATATAATAAAATAGTATATTATGTAACAAGTGTTATAAACGTCCTTTTAGTAACGAGTATTTTAAGCACGAGCGGAGCAGAGCGGAGCGAATCGTGTTGCCATGGAAACGTGTTTAATACTTTGAATAAATCACAGATCGTCAATCCGTGATTAATCGATCATTTAGCGTGGTACATATCCGTACGCTGAATGCCATTTTAGTTATGTGAGTAGAAAAACGTATGTATTATTATCATTATTATCATTATATTGGAGATGAAAGAGGAAATCATGTCATAAAATCAGGATAGCTGACTCTCAACCATTCATGAACATCCCAAAAAACAAAAACGTTGCATACGACCTACATCAAAATATGTTTTAAAATTCGAAATGAGGTTAGATATTAGGAGGAAATGAGAGGATACCTGGCACTTTTCTGAGATAAAATGGTATTGGGAATGAAGGAGGAAATGAAAAGAGAAAATCAGAATAGCTTACTCTCATCCATTCATGCATATTCCGAAGGAATAAAAACGTTGCATACGACCTTGAAGATGCTCTAAAATATTCATAGAACAGAATAGATACTGAATAGTTTCTAATTCCAAAAATGGCGAAGACTAATCAATTATGAATGTTCGATATATGTTTATAAAACAATAAAATACACGCAGATGTTTTTTCAATTAGAATCGATCGGACATGTTGCCTCAACGCAATTATGATTAATATTTTCAACAAATCATTCGTTAAGATTATTTTGTAATTATGATGATTATATGGTATGAACCTATCTGTTTATAATTACAGGGAACTTTGTTGCTTCCTTCATAGTCATTTTGCCTAGGAAATGTAAATATTACAATAATTAATATTGAATCTAATCGTAGTCATTGTTATAGCGATAAATCATGATAAATAATCAATTTGAAGTGTGCCTAGTTTTTTAGTTATTACTAAAATTGATTCATCTATCCAATTACTGAGGACTCAAATGGTGCTTCATGCCAGATAACAGATAATCAATTGATTTTGAATGAACCAACACGAACAGAGGAAGGCAACGAAAAAAAATGTTGTTTTGTCGCAATCCGTACCACATCGTACTGAACCTAGAGGTTTTCCTAAAACAAAAAAGGACGCAATTTTGAAAAACCTTATTCCTGATAACCGGAGAAGTTTTTGGATCAATTTGCCAGAAACAAACGACGTCTAGAAATAATGTATAAAACGGAAGTTCAACTTGAGTAGGATTTAAGTTTTGTTAAATGTGTGTGTATACACTATACAGAGTGGGCCTTTGAAAACGAAACAGAGGCTCTGTAGGTCGCCAAAACCGGATTATCAAAAAAAACTGAAACAGGTCAACTACATTTTCGAGGGGGACATCTTTCTAAAATATTTTCAGCCCTGCGGCGTTGCCGCTTCTAAAGAAAAGAAGCAACAACTTTGTTATTTCAAATGGAACACCTTGTATTTTATTGCATTTTTAGATTCTCCCCGAAGAGCTGATTTCATCAATGCATCACACTTAGGGTCTAGCTGTAATGGTTTCAGGGATATAAAGTGTTCAAAATCGAGATTTTTCAACTTTAACATTTTTTTGTGTCGAAACTATTCATTATTGGTCAAAACGGCTCTCATGTCCCGATCTCAACTTGTGATTTACTATCTACGATATCTGAGATAAAAAATTATAACTCGTTTTTCCTTCCAAATCATGATTTTCCACCTACCGGTGCCATTGAACGTTCCAAAATTCGTAGTTGATTTGAAGTCACTATTTATTCTAGACTGAAAATGAGAAAAATGAAGCCAATCGTGTTAATTCGGAATTAGGTGATTTTTTTGCATATGGAGGTTCGAAAGCATGAGGAACAATAATATGAGGTTAGATTTCCTGTAAAAAAATGATTTTATGAAAAATCGACCCCTTTTTACTTCAATCAAAACGCACGGCACTGTCCAAAATAATGTGCATCTCTGTAAAACTGATCATATAGATGGCTATTCATACCACACGAAATTTGGTTGGAATCGCATGACAAATAACTGAGATATAGAGGGGGGGGGCGTTTGAAGTGAGACACGCTGTATATTTTTTTTATTGAAATTTGTTAGTTTCCAAATTATTTCATCATCATTATGTTTCTATACCATTTCCAAATAAAAAGTCACATTTGTTTCTTTTTTATTCTCAAAATATTTTAGAGGCTATACAGGGTGTTACATAATTCAATACAAATATTTTAATGACATATTCCTGGGGTCGAAATAAGACTTTTTTTTCCTATAAACATGTGTCCTAAAATCCACCCCCTCCAAGCTACAGACATCGCAAGATGCGGAAAAAAATCTTAAATTTTGAATTGTGGCTACAATTATGCATCAAATATTTTGAAAATTCACAGGCACTTGTATTTTTAGACGATCTATTCATTTCTTGATTCAAAAATAAGGTAACTCGAATCGAAAGGGGTGAATGAGGGTTGCATACAGATTTGATGGCAAACATTTTCTATTTCCTCCAAAAAAATTTGAATTCAAACATCATCGTTGAATTGGCCACTAAAAAATCATACATTTCAGTCTCTTGCATTTTCTTGAATTAGCTAAGCGTTTTAGAGAAAATCGCTAGTAAATGAAAGGGGTGTATTTTCAAATTATTATACTAAAAAAACTTAGTGAGCTATGATTATGTTTGTCTCTGATAACTAATGATTAATTAATCTTTTATGCCAAACTGACATTGTGGTATGTCATAACCGTCATGTCACAATCGATTCACTTTCCTCAACTTACCATTACACGCAATGTCTGTAGCTTGGAGGGGGTGGATTTTAAGACACCTGTTTATAGGAAAAAAAAGTCTAATTTTGACCCCAGGAATATGTCATTAAAATATTTGTATTGAATTATGTAACACCCTGTATAGAAAAAACTTTGAGCTCATTTTTCTCTTTTTGACGGCCTCTGTAGATACGGCATCTGTTCTTGGGACGGCAGTATAGTGTCCAAATATATTAACCAAAGGACATTTATTTCTTCTCTTTCACCCCAATTCATCAAGTATCGTGATTGACGGATGATTTGTAATATTGTGGATTTCAATAAAAGTTTTGAAAAATACAAAGCAGAGATACTGATTTGGTTCAAGAATAAAGTTGGATATGTGAAAGAGGAGTCTGGTAACTCCTTTAAAATGAAATTTGAGAATAATTCTTGATACGCGTAGAGTGGATATTTCTTGTCCCCTCCATGCCGAAGTAGGTGAAATTTCGAAATCTCTTGGTTGAAGAGATATCGGCCCAGGCAAATTTAATTGTTCGTAACAGATATATCGGACGTTGCTTTTAGCATACAATGAGGTTATTCCATATATAGATATGGTACAAAAGAAAATGCGTGTTCAGTAAATTAGATACTACTCGAACTGTAGACTATTTTATGGGAAGCTCAGAGGCATTACACGACACAATAAACATATATTTCAGTTTTAATAGCTTCCCCATTTGGGCATACTTTTTAGGTTGTTATAATGCAACGAGGGAAAAGTAGATAATGATGGGTTGTACGGTCTCAGGCTTAATGAATCGAATTTATTCGATTCGGGTGCCCAAATTGCCATATCTGAACTTTTCAACGACCTGCAATGAACGTGGAGAAAACGTAATTGAAGATATTCCGATAGTGTATAACGGTATGAGTTGTGAATGTTCTCAATGAAACAAATAATAACAAAAGGAATTTAAAAGTTGAAATGGTGTTTTGTAAATCACAAATTCAGCAGAAAATATTGAATGTTCGTAAGGACGAAGGAACATAAGTACAATATAAAGAAGACACATCGACAAATCGAAACTAGCTGAACATATCCTTACTGAAGATGGACAACATAATATGGCAGAGTGGGATGATATTGAAATCATTGGAAATGAAGATAACAACCAGAAGAAAAGAATCAAGGAATCTGCTTGCATTCTTCTGAACGGAGACAATAGCATTGCTTCCTGTTCAGTTTATATAGAGAGGACACGGTATTCACTGCTGAAATCTGAAAATGAAAATGGTAAATTCAAGATTACTTAATGAAAACATCCTGTAACTCATTTGATTGCCAACGTCACCAAT